ACGGCGGCCTGAGCTTCCGCTCGTCGGCGTCCAGGAGCCTCCACAACCGGCGTTCCTAAGGCCCGCGCGGGACGCCGGGGGACGACGGCGACCGTCGTCGTTGTTCCGGATGCTCATCGGGGCGCTCCTGGAGCTGGTCGTGACCACAGCCAGGGTCGCTCGGCAACGCAACTGGATCAGTGATGCATGCTAGCTGTGCTTGTCTTCGAGTCCAGATGCTGCTGCATGTTATTGATATGTGTTGTTGGCGTGTCTTAGTATGTGTGTGACTGATGCATGCATGCTCTTGGTGCCAAGTCTTGCTATAGAACTGCATGCCGACAGATGATGTATGACATTGGTGTGTAATGCGTGCTGCCAGCGTGCACGAATGAGTCATGCGGCTGGTGTATGTCAACGTACGCCAGTGATGTATAGTATCCATGTATCCAACTGGTGCATGCTAGCCGTGCATCATCGGTGGCTGGTGCATCTCACTGGATCTGTGCTGTTGGTGAGGGGCGCCGATGTGACTCATTGGTGGTTGGGAGGTGTGTGTATTGTTGGCCGATCTGTATCAGTATGTGTTGGCATGGAGCATGTTGATGATGTCGGTTATGTATGGCTGCCCTAGGTGTATGTGACTAGTGCACCGATGTGTGTCATTGGTAGTTGGGAGGTGTGTATATTGTTGGTCGATATGTATCAGTATGTGTTGGCATGGAGCATGTGAATGATGCCGGTTATGTATGGCTGCCCTAGGTGTATGTGACTAGTGTATGTTACGGATGGGTGCTCGCGGGCTGGACACCAGGGGCTCTCGGGAGTCTCGGGGCCCGGCGGCTGCGGTGTGCAGGGCGGCTGGGTGGGATGTCTCTCAATGTCAAGCCACTCCAGCCTGTCGGGTGGGGACGAGCACGCTCCGCATGCGTGGAGACCTCCTCGGAGGCTGGGTGGGATGTCTCGTAACGTCAAGCAACTCCAGCCTGCTGGGTGGGGACGAGCACGCTCCGCATGCTTGGAGACCTCCTCGGAGGCGGTCGTCGCAGCGGCCGGATTCACCTCAAGACAGGATCTGCAGCTGGGGGGGACGGGACGGACGGGCGCCGACACCGCCCCACGCGCAGGCGGGGAACGCACACTGCGCAGGACGGCGGCGGGGCCGCAGCCCCTCACGAGAGCACCTCGTCGACCCATCGGCGCGGAGGGACGTGCGGGCCTATCTGCGCAGCATTACTTGTCAAACCTGCAGCCCCGAGGAGAGACTCGTATGACCACTTCTGTGGACTGCCCGTGGTGACCATCTGCGCCCATTCCAAGGTCCTTGTGCGTTGTATAGCACCCAATTACCATAGCCAATTGGCGCACACCCCCGCTCGGAATATGAGGGGGAGGGGTGGGCGGGGGGGGGCATGTTCAGTCCCAGATCTCCAGGCGTCGCCAACAGGTCTCCAGACGTCGCGCATAGATCTCCAGACGTCGCGGCTAGATACCCAAACGGTCTCGTTTTGGGTCCTGGGGCCCTCTGCGGGACCCTGGGTTGTCACGGCACATCCCCAGGCGTGAAAAGAACGACGGGGATGGGAAAGATCTGGGGGGGAAAGCAGCAAACAAACATGCGACGCCGGACGCATGGGTCTCTCCTCATTCGCGGCCTCCGCCTCTCTCCCAGGCGATCCTGTCCTCCTGCTCATCCTCCTCCTCCTGCTCCTCCCCGTCCCCTCCCTCCTCTGCCTCCTATTGCCCTGCCCCCTCGCTCCTCCCCTGCCTCCTCGTTTCTCCTCTTCCTCCTCTGTCTCCTTGTTCCTCCTCCCTTTTCGCCGCCATGTCTTCCTTAGCACCAAGGGAGAGGCTCCTGGGAGGAAATGCGTTCTGTACCTTCCCCAGGATTCGATTGTTATACCCAACTGGTGTTCGTCGGCCCCGAGCTTGGGAAGGGCGTCCGAAGGACAAGCACCGCATTTATTTGGAATAAGATAACACATCCTCATCAACCTCCTCCTCCTCCTGCTCCCCCTCCTCCCCATCATCCTCATCCTCCTCCGCCTCATCCTCATCATCATCAGCAGCATCAGCTTCATCATCATAACCACCACCACCACCAACATCACCATCATCAGCATCATCATCATGATTATCACCATCATCATCAGCAGCAACATCATCATCATCAGCATCACCAGCATCAGCACCAGCATAACCATCACCATCACCATCACCACCATCATCATCATCATCATCATCATCATCATCATCATCATGACCATCATGACCTTCAGCATGACCATCATCATCCCCTCCTCCTCCTCCTCCTGCTCCTCCTCCTCCCCATCCTCCTCCTCCTCCGCATCATCATCACCACCACCACCATCAGCATCATCATCATCAGCATCAGCATCATCATCATCGTCATCATGATCATCATCATCATCAGCATCATCATCGGCATCAGCATCGTCGTCGTCATCTGCATCAGTAGCATCGTTATTATTACCATTAGTATCTTCAGTACCATCATCATCAACATAACATCATCCTCATCAGCAGCAGCATCACCCACACGCAACAGCATCATCATCATCGTCATCATCAGCAGCATCATGATTTACCCACATAATCGTCAAAATCATCATCATCAGCATCGCCACGGCAAACATCGTCACCATCATCACCAGCAGCATTATCATCAGCATAATCATCATCGTCGTCGTCATCAGTACCAGCATCACCATCAGCATCATCAGCATCATCATCAACATCATCATCAGCATAAACATGATCACCATCACAACCATCAACATCAACATTGTCATCATCATCATCAACATCACAATCACCGTCATCATACCATCATCATCAACATCAATATGTTCATGTTCCGCCTCACCATCACCCATGCACCCATCTCAACATGTTCATGCCACCCATGCACCTCCTGGTCACAATCCGATTCCTTATCCTATTCCTCCTCCTCATCATCATCAGCACCATCAGCATTACTATCATCACCATCAACATCAACATCATCAGCATCATCATCATAACCTGCATCATCGGCAACAACATCATCGTCATCATCGTCCGGATCATCATAATCATCATCATACTCATACTCACCATCATCATCATGCTCATCGTCATCCTCATCCTCATCATCATCGTCATCATCATCGGCATCATCATTATCATCGTGATCATCACCACCATTGTCAGCATCAGCATCAGCATCAGCATCATAATCAGCATTACCACCACCACACACACCAACATCATGAACTGCTCCTCCTCCTCCTCCTCTTCCTCCTTGTGCCCGTCTGTCTCATTCTTAATTATTGCATTCATTTCCTACTCCACCTGCGCATCCTCGTCCGCTGCCTGGTTCACATTCTCCTCCACCTCCCACTCCTACGACTCCACTCGTTTTGCTTACAAATAACTGCTCCCTGTCGCCTCCTCGAGGTCGGTCGCAGGGGCAGGCAGGGCGTTGGGCCTGAGACTTTTTCACCAGTTATGTTTCTGAAACTTGAAGATGTGGAACAGCTTCGCACGCTTTGTTTAATGTGGGTCTCGCCTTAGCGCGGCGCATACTCGTTTTGTAATTTGCAAGAGTTTCACGGATTGAGGGCGGGTCGTTTTCAAAATGTGGCTCTCGCCTTAGCGCAAACCACATTCGTCTGAAAAAGTTGCAAGAGCTTCTCGGATGGAGGGCGGGTCGTTTTCAAATTGTGGCTCTCGCCTTAGCGCGGCGCACATTCGTCTTAAAGACTTGCAAGAGTTTCTCAGGTTGAGGGCGGGTCGTTTTCAAAATGTGGCTTTCGCCTTAGCGCCGAGCGCAGGTCATCTGCAAAAATTGCTAGAGTTTCACGGATGGAGGGCAGGGTCGTTTTCAAATTGTGGCTCTCGCCTCAGCGCTGCGCACATTCGACTTTACATGTGCAAAGAGTTGTACGGATTCCCATGGTCAACGTACCAGAAATGGTGTTTGGGAGTTATTCGGATTGTCAGAGGGCAACATTTACGTTGAGTTGCGATGTTGAAGTCCCAGGAATGGTCTAGTGGCACGATCCGGGATCGTTACGTCGCAAAAATCACGTTTATTCGTGGCGTTGGAATCCCGATAATGGTGTTGTGGCACGCTTCAGGGTCTTCACACGGTTGTCTCCCAACGGGGTAGGACACTTCCCTGTGGAACAGCATCCGTGTAGGGGCATATGGGGAGGGGGGCTTGCAAGAAGGGTGTATTCCAATATCGTTGATGAGTCCTGGGTTTGCACTGGTCTGCCTCCCACTTCTTTTCCTACACCTGCCCCTCATCTTCCTTTCCTCCTCCTCCTCCTCATCCTTTTCCGCCTCCTCCTCCGTCTTCCCCTTATCCTCCTCATGATTGCCCTCCTTCTCTTATTATTATTCCACCTATGGTGCCCCCTTTTTCTTCCCATCCTCTCCCCGATGCCCCTCCCCCTACGCCTCCTCCTCCCCCTCCTCCTCCTCCTCCTCCTCCTCCTCCGTCTCCTCCTGCTCCTCCTCCTGCTCCTCCCTGCTCCTCCTCCTGCTCCCCCGCCTCTTCTTTCTCTTTCTCCTCCTCCTCCTCCTCCTCCTCCTCCTCCTCATCCTCTCCTCCTCCTCCTCCTCCTCCTCCTCCTCCACCTCCTCCTCCTCTCCCCAGCTCCCCTTGCTCCCGCGCCTCCCTCCTGCCCCTGATCCCGTGTGTCTCCTCTGCCCCCCCCCACTCGTCCATCTCCCGCTCACCTACTACCACCTCCTCCCTCAATACTGTTCCCCCCCTCTTCCTTTTGTCGCTGCTCCTCCCCATCCTCTTCCCTCATTCTCCTCCCATTCCTGCCCCTCCAGTTCCTCCCTCCTCCCTCCTCCTCTTCCTCCTCCTCCTCCTCCTCTCCTCCTCCTCCTCCTCCTCCTCCTCCTCCTCCTCCTCCTTTGGATCCCACCCGACGACTCCCAGGCTCCATCCCCCCGGGCAGGGAAACGTCGACGACATCTGTTTCGCGAAGGCTCGCCCGCTGAGGGGCAGAGGGAACAGGAGGCGAGACCGCAATTAGCCGGGTGCCAAGCTGCACCGCGAGCCATCCATCGCGGGGATCACTGCTCGTCGCAGAGGCCGCCTGGCCCGGTGCGCCGGCTGCCGGGCGATGGCCAGTCCTCTGCCCACCCTTCCCTCGCATCGAAGACCTGCTGCGGCACCAGGAACCGCGCACCCGTGACGCGCTCGGGAAACAGCGTGCCGTCCAGGTGGTCCAGCTCGTGCTGGGCCACCCGGGCCTCGAGCCCTGACATCGACACCTCCCGCTCCACGCCGCGCTCGTCAAGCCCCCTCAGCCGCACCTCCTTGGGGCGCTCCACCCACCCGCGCATCCCGGGCACCGAAAGGCACCCTTCCCACATCCAGTTGGTATCGCTGCTCGACCACACGATCTCCGGGTTGACCCAGAACTGAAACGGCACGGAGCCCGCGTCGGGATACCGCGGGTTGCTGCCGTTGATTCCGAAGCACATCGCGCGGGTCCACCATCCGATCTGGGGGGCGGCGATGCCGATGCCCCCATAAACGCCCATGGCCTCCTCGAGTGTCGAGAGTCGCCGCCGCAAACTCTCGGCTGCCAAGAAGGAGAAGGGTTCTGAGATACACGGGCACTGGACACCCAGAGCGTTGCCGCGGGGACCGGCTTCTCATCCAAGCAATCGTAGAGAGCCCGCGGCACAGGAAGAGCACCAGGAAGCCGCCTTCCGCCATGGTGACTCCTCCACTCCCCACGATACGCCACCGTGCCCTGAGGCACGAGTTGGAGTGTCCTCGGGCAAAGGCTGCAAAGAGGTAGGCGTGCTGGTGGCCTTTCCTCTGCCGACGCGCCCAATGGCGCGAAGCCCCTTATTAATCAAATAATAATTGAGCCGAAAGCAGCAATCCTCGGGCCCTCCGCCAAATCCCTCCAAGCCTCAGCCCTGAATCCTGAGGACTCTTCAGGGGGCCCAGACCCCACATCCACACACATAGAGGCCTCCTGGATGGGGTCCGAGTAGATGGGGTCGGAGGATCTCACCGTATCGCCGATACATCGACGATGCATCGCTGATGCATCGGCGATGCATCGGCCATGCACTGGCGACGTCAGCGATGCATCGGCGACGTCGGCGTGGAGAAAGACGGGCCCCACATCGAGCCGCATCGCCGATGCATCGCCGATGTATCGGCGATGCGGCGCGATCCTCCGACCCCATCTACTCCGACCCCATCTAGGAGGCCTAGAACACACCTCCCAGGGCTTGGCGCGTGGTGCCCGGGGCCCGTCGCGGCTCGTCATCACCACCCTGGACGCCCCAGGCCTCCAGCCCCGATGCCCCAGCCGCCCCTGTGCTTCCGGGCGGCTCGGACGCCACCTCGTGCCGCTCGACCGCGGGCTGCGCCCGCATCAGCAGCGGGTCCCCCAGATGTCAGGGGCAACGTTGGTAGAGGCCTCCCAGGTGGGGCAGAGCAGATGGGGTCGAGGAGTCACCGCGCATCGCCGGTGCATCGCCGATGCGGCTCGATGTGGAGCCCGATATTCTCCACCCAGATGGGGTCAGAGTAGATAAGATCGGATGATCACGCCGCATCGTCGATGCCTCGCTGACGCATCGGTGATGCACGGGCAACGTCGGCGGTGCATCGGCGCCGTCGGCGTGGAAAAGATCGGACTCCACATCGAGCCGCATCGGCGATGCATCGGCGATGCGGCGCGATCCTCCGACCCCATCTACGTACTCCGACCCCATCTGGTAAACCTAGAGTCAGGGGGGACAGGCTCAGGGCTGAGCAAGGAACAGCCGCCCTGGCACTCCTGTAGGCCTACCATTGAGTGTTCCTAGAACGAACGAAGTTCTAAGAGGCAGAGCAGCATTCTTAAAACGTAGAACCGATGGCTTAGGACAAGACTGCCTCAGCCAAGCGAGTTCCAATAACATGTCGCGCAAACAGACGCGTTAAAGAACAAATCGTATAACATGATTTGGCGGGCCTATAGGCAAGCCAGGACGCCTCGCCGCTGTCTACCAGAGGGGGGAAACATCAACCTGGAATCGGCGACACATCGCCGATAGATCAGCGATAGGCTCTCGATAGCAAACCTCCGCGCTTTCCTGGGCGGGGTGGGCCATCGTGCCCCTACTTGCGATCATTGGGCGACTGGGGGCCGATGCCTCACCCCCTGAGCGTTCCTGGGCGGGGTGGACCCTTCGGCCCCTGCTGGCGATCCATGGTCCATGGACGTTTGGGGGCCGCTGCCTCACTCACCCTCTGAGCCCATCTGATGGAAAAAGAAGGTACAAACACAGATGCCGCGGCTCCCTGGATCTCTGCCGGGGTGCGTTCCGACCAGGCTGACGACGCGAACCCAGACATGGCGACGAGGCCCTCCCAGAAGGCCCAGAAAGGCGAAAGTGAGGCAAGGGCAGCGGCCTCGATATCTCTAGGGGGAAAACAAACCTACCTCGCTTTTGACCACCCTCGCTTCCAAAATATACCAAACGATGCCAAATAGCAGCCTGTACTGGTCAGGCCGCTTGACGAGGAGGCGCGTGGTATGGCTTGGTTTTGCCTGGAAGCGAAAGCGGGGTAGGTAATTCACGCTCTGAACCTCTTCCTCTCCCCGAACCCGTCGCTCCCCCCCCCAACGCCGCCCCTCGAGATACCTCAGCGAGGGCACCGCCGGCGCCGCCTCCGGCCCGCAGCCGCGCGCCGCGCCGCGGCGCGCCCGCCCCGCGGGGCCCAGGCGCGGCGCCGCCCAGGCGCGCCCCTCGCGCGGGGCCGCCGCGCGAGGCGGGCCCCAGCAGGCCGCGAGGAGCGCCAGCGCCAGGCGCCCGCGCCGCGGGGCCGGCGCTGCCAGCGGGCCGGCGCCGGCGGCGCCGCGGGCCATGGGGCGCAGCACGCGGGCTCTGCGCCCGGGCGTCGGCCCGCGGCTCTCGGGGGCGCCCGGGCCAGCAGGGCTCGGCGCCCGGGCGCAGGGGAGGGGTGGCGAGGTGCGGGCGCTCGGGAGGGGTGGCGGGAGAGGGCGGGTCCTGACGGAGCAGGCCCAGGCGGAGGCCGAGCGTTCCGCGTGGGCCTGCTCCGTAGGGGCCCGGCCTCCGATCAGGAGAGGCCAGAAGTCCAGGCTGCGTGAGCCCAGACGGAGACCGAGCACTCCGCATGGACTCGCTGCGCATGGACGTCGCATCCGCCGGGGTGCGACAGTGCCAGACCTCATCGTGGTGGCCCCCGGCAGCGTCTGCTTTCGCAGCGCCTTGGGGGTAGCATTCAGGGCACCCGAATCGAACTGGCGGCAGTCCACAGTTGCCAGCTGGCGCCAAGGATCGTTCGAGGCACGTCCCGCCGATCGTTGATGCTGCGCGACAGCAGGGGCTTGCGCGTTTGCGTTGGACCCCCACGAACGCCCCTAAAACCGCACTGGGAGGGAGGAAGGGGGGGAGGGAGAGGGGGGGAGAAGGGTGGGGCAGAGGATAGAGATGAGGGAAACGAAAACGCCGACGACGATGACGCCAGCGAGAAACGAGAGCAAGGATAAGAGACGATGGGGGGAATCGACTGCGCACGGATGATAAAGGAGGAGGAGGAGGAGCAGAAGGAGGAGGAGCAGGAGGAAGAGACACGAAGAGCGGGGTGCGCGAAACGGGCCGAAAAGGGGAAAAAACAAACGGAACCTATGAGCTTGTCGTCGCATGGCATGACTCGGAAGCGAGGACGAGATTCGAACGATACCGTCCCCATCTGCCTTTCCCTCCTCAAATATCCTCTTTCTCCCAGTCCTCCTCGTCTGCCTCATCCTCATCAGCCTCATCCTCCCCTCGCCGTCTTTATGCTCTCTGAGTAGTCCTCCGCGATTTGCTACTCCTGCTACTGGTCATGTTCCTGTCGATGCTCCTCATAATGTGCCTTCTCTTCCTAACCCTCCTGCTGGACCGAAGTCCCGACTGGTCACTCGAGACCCCCAGGTGGAGTGGTCTCATCACCCCTCTGCAGAAGCATCAGCAGCAACACCATCCTCTGCTTCCCCAGCCCCGCCTTTCCGCCCTTCCCCTCTCCTCCCCCTCCCCTTCCCCATCCCCCTACTCCCTCTCCTCGTCCTCCGCCTCCGCCTCCGCCTCCGCCTCCTCCTCCTCCTCCTCCTCCTCCTCCTCCTCCTCCTCCTCCTCCTCCTCCTCCTCCTCATCGTCATCAACAATTACACAATATGAAAATACTCTCCCACTTCCCCTGATGGCGTCCCGAAAATATCCGACACCCCCCCGCGTACTGATTTTTTACACACAGGATTCCCGGGAAACGGGTTTTCGCTTGCGTGTTTGTTCAAAATGCTGCTGTCGCTGAGGCGCTGGCCTCATTTTTGCTCCCGAATCGTTCCGGATCGTGCTCCCGCTGCAGCGTGGGCCTCATTTTCGGATCGGTGTTTGGCCTCCGTCGTTCAGGATGGCGTTCTCGCCCCAGCGCGGGCCTCTTTCTCGCGCGCCCATCCGCCCGCCACCACAGCGCCGCCGCACCACCACCACCACCACCACCACCACCACCACCACACCACCACCAGCACCACCAGCACCACCACCACCACCACCACCACCAGCACCACCACCACCACCACCACCACCACCACCACCACCACCACCACCACCACAACCACGCACACACGCACGCACGCACGCACGCGCACCACCACACACTACGCACGCGCGCGCGGAGCCGCAGGTCCGTTACGACACGCGTCCGCGGATAGAGAAAATCAGCGCCATGGTAAGGGATGGGAGAGAGGGGTAGGACGTCAGATATGACGCGAGCGCACCTAGCTTGTCATCATCCCCTCCCCCTCCCCCCTCCTGCCCTGTATCCTGCTTCCTCCTCCTCCTCCTCCTCCTCCTCCTCCTCCTCCTCCTCCTCCTCCTCCTCCTCCTCCTGCGCGAGCGCGACCTCAGAGCGAGGGCCGGGCGCTGCTGCGTTGCCGGACGGACGCGCGGCATGATATCGCTTTTCGATCCCCCCCCGCAGCGCCCGTCTCGGGGAGGAGGGGGGGGGGGGCCTCCGAGCGCCGCAGCATGCTCGCGAGCACCAAAGCATGCCTGTCAGCACCGCAGCGTGCCTGCAAGGACCGCGCCATGCCTGTGGGAAGAGCCCCCCCCCATGCGTCCGCCACCGTTACGGCGAGGGCCGGTTCCCTCAGGCCCCCCAGCGACCCCCCGGACGCCACAGGTTCACAGACTTACAGAATGATCCCAGTGCGACCCTACCCAAGAGTTGGAGCATCTAGGAAAGCAACATCTATATCTAAACCGACAGCTACATCCACATCTACACCTGCATCTACATCCACAGCTACATCCACAGCAACATCAACAGCGAGACTCACATCTACATCTACACATACACCTACACATACATCTACATCTACAACTACAGCTACATCTACATCTACATCTACAATTTCGCATTGGTTTTGTTTGTGCTGCGCATTACCTTGCCTTTGCTTTTGCTTCTGCTTTTGCTTTTGCTTGTCTTGGGGGCGTCTTGGACCGTCGTCAACGCGATGAAAACCGAGCGGCCGCGCGTGGCCAAAACGCATGTTTCCTGGTGGTCTCTGGGGGCGCCTCTTGGGGACCTCTCGGGGCTTCTTGGGGAGCTCATGGGGCATCCTGGGAGCGTCTCGGGGCGAAAAGCTATTTTTGTCGTCTCCTCCTGGGGCGCTTTTGGAGGCTGCGAGCTGCGAGCTGCGAGGCGCGACCCGCGAGCTGCGAGGCGCTAGCCGCTCGCTCACTCACGGCGCCGGCGCTTGCGCGGCCCCTCGCCCTCGTCGTCGCCGACGCCCCCCCTCTCCGTCGCACCCCCTCTGTTGCGGTCAGTCGACGACTTCTCCTCCGCCCACGCGCCCATGAACCGCCGCATTGCGTCAGCAGGCTGCGCAGCATTGCAGATTGGATGTTGGACGGCGGAGAGCAGCAAATGTCTGTTGCCGATGATCTGGAACAAATATGCGGAGAAAGCGCTTCGTCGGAGCTGGTGCGCTTTCCGCCTGCATCTCCCGCTGCGCAACCACTCGTACTCCTGGGCCGTTTCCGTGTTCATCCACGACTTATAATCGTTCATCCACTTCTCGTGGATCTCTTCCATGTGGCGAGGCGCGAAGATCGCGTCGGGGCCCAGTCCAGGCGCGCGGCGCATGCGATTCGCACGCTGCTCTTCGACGACCCGCAAGAACTCCTCCAGCTTCTCGGCGGCGCGCGGAGCAGCTGCCGCCTCGAAGCGGCCGTCCGACGAGGCTACGAACAGGAAGTCTCTGCCGATCTTCTGGAGCACCCCCTGCTACGCTGCTTCGGCGGAGGCATCGCCGCCGAAGATGGCGTTGGCGCGAGGCGTGGCGGGCCTGCGTGCCACGTTGGAGGAGGCGGCAGGCTGCGCAGCGCTGCTCGGCGGGCTGCGCGTCGCTTCCCACGTCGGCGGAGGGCGCGCATCTGCGATTCGCAGAACCGGCGAAGGCCCAGCCGCACTCTCGAGGTCTCGAGGCACAAACACCCTGGCCGCAACGAGGTC